CACAGACACACACACACAGACACACAGACACACACACACAGACACACAGACACACACACACAGACACACAGACACACACACACAGACACACACACACAGACACACAGACACACAGACACACACACACACACACACAGACACACACACACAGACACACAGACACACACACACACACACACAGACACACACACACAGACACACAGACACACAGACACAGACACACACACCTCCCGGAAAAAGGGGGTGATTGAAGGACTGAATTCAGATCCTCAGGCGTGGCTGCACGCTCTTGTACCTGTTGAACCGTCTCCCTGGCCCACACCCTCCCGGTTTTACAGTATTTCTGTCTGGGCCTGGGGACACGTGGGGGCGGTCACAGACCATGGAGACCGATCATGTCGGCCTGGGTCTGGCGTCAGGCTCAGCAGAGCCCCTGGTCTCAGTTTCTCCGTGTGCCCTGTGGAAACAGGGGCGACAAGGCCAGTGTTGTGACCGGGAAACCCTCAGCACCCTGCTCCTGCTCCTCAGTTGTCCCGTGAGGCCCGGCTGGGCGGCCTGCTGAGGCTTCCGCCCCCCGAGTCCTGGGTCAGGTAGGAGGCCAGCGGAGGGAAGAGCAGGGGGAAGCCTGGGCAGAGGCCGGGCTGCCAGACTGACCTGTCCTGATGGTGTCAGACACCGGATAAAAATAGTCTGTGGTCAGGGAACCCGAGCCGGCCCCGGAGAGGGTTCCAGCGTGGGCCCTGGGTGGGCCTGGGCCTCCTGGAGCCTTGGCTTTGTTCCTTCACTGACGGGCTCCGCGGTTCTCCCCGCGCTGGGCTTCGGGGAAGGGGTCCCAAGGCAGTGCTGAAGGCCTGCAAGAGTATGAATTCCTGCCCAGCACGGTGGCGCACACCGTAAATCCCAGCACCCCAAGGCAGAGTCAGGAGGATCTCTGTGAGTTCGAGGCCAGCCTGGGCTACAGAGCGAGATCCAGGACAGCCAGGGCTACACAGAGAAACCCTGTCCTGAGAAAACAAAACAAAACAAGAGCATGAATTTCTCCAGTGAAGACAAAGATTAGGTAAGGCCACACCCTGTTTCCCTGCCCATCTTCCAGTCTCCATGACGACCAGAGGCTTGGAGGATCTGGATGGGGGCCTGGGCAGCTGCCTCCCCAGCGATGAGTTCCCGTTACTGGAGGAACCACGCTCCGGCCGGCGGCCAGACGGCAAGGCCCGAGGTACTGTGACTGATGGGGGAGCCTGGCAGCTCCGCTGAGGAGACCAGCGCCTCATCTCCCAAGCTGGCCCGGGAGAGCGGGCTCCAGACCTGCAGCTTCAGGGCCTGGCTCCACAGCTCTGGGCTGGAATTCACTATGAGGCATGCTGCGTGCCCCTTGCCTTCTGAAATGGAAGCTGTGCTCACCCATTTCCAGGCAGAGTCGGGGTAGAGGATGGGATGGGACTGGTCAGGGGTGGTGACTAGTTCTGATTCTTCGCCTGTTCCACCAACAGGGGCATCCAGGCCGGCTGACTCGAGTAGCTGGACGCATGTGAGTAGCTGTGGCCCTGGGAGCTGGGGACGGCTGAGCCAAGGAATATGGTGTTCTCTTGTTCTCCATCTCTCTCTGTTCCTTCTTCCTGCCTTCCTTTCCTCTCCTCTCCTCCCCTCCCCTCCTCTCCTCTCCTCTTCTTCCCTTGTTAAGGTCTCGTAGCCCAGGCTGTCTTCAAACTCAGACCTCAGGAGGGACCCTGCCTGTCTCCGCCTTCTGATAGGAGGACAGGGGCACAGCACACCTGGTGTGTAGAGTGGCGGCCAGCTACAACCCTAGCTTCCTTTAAGTTTTTATGTTTTTCCCCAGTGCGGCACTAATGGCGCACGCCTTTAATCCCAGCAGTCCAGGGTCAGAGGCAGGCGGATCTCTGAGTTCGAGGCCAGCCTGGGCTACAGAGGGAGTTCCAGGACAGTTAGGACTACATGGAGAAACCCTGTCTCAACAAACAAAAACAAATTCCCTTCATTTTTCTGTGTATGGGTGTTTATTTTATTCAACTCTTATTATTTTATGTGTTTTGCCTGCATGCACGTGTGCCTGATGCCCTAAGAAGCCAGAAGGGCGCGTCAGATTGCCTGGAACTGCTGTTACAGATGGTTGTGAGCTGCCATGTGGGTGCTGGGAATAGAACCTGGGTCCTCTGTGAGAGCTACCCTGCTGTGACCACTGAGCTGTCTCTCCAACTTCTAATGTATTCATATATACATTTATACTACATGTACATATGTATCCATATATTTATACACGAAGTTATGTATGTATGTATACACGTGTATTTGTGTATATCTGCACACACACATACATATATATAAGTGTGTGTGTGTGTGGACACACGCACACCGTGGGTCAGAAGCCATCTTCCCTGAGTCTGTTTTCTCCTTCCACGGGGGTTCCTAGGGATCAGACCCAGGCAGGCTGTCAGGTTCGGAGGCATCACTGAGCTGCTTGGCTGGACCCTTCTTTTGAGTTTTAAACACAGTCTCACTATGCAGCCCAGGCCGGCGTCCAGCTGCAGGCCATCCTCCTGCCTCAGCCTCCCGGGTGTTGGGATTACGGACGGACTGTCTCTGACCCCTGCAGGTCCTCCAGGCCCCAGGGACTGCAGGCGCTGCGGAAAAGGAGCTCGAGGCCAGGGAGGCTCCGGGAACCAGCAAAGGGACGCCGAAAGCTGGGACAAGTGGGTTTGCTCCGCCAGGGTGAGCGGGGGCGCGGGGCTGGACCCCCGCTGCACGGGCCTGCACCCCGGGGCGCGGCAGGAGCCACGGGCCACCGAGCGCTCGTCCCGCAGGTCCCCGGAGCGTTCCCGCGCGCAGGAAGTTGCAGGCTGCGCCTCCCCTGAAGCCGCCGCCGCCGCCGCCCCCGCCGCCGTCCAGCGACGACCTGCCCTGGGGGGACCTGACGCTCAACAAGTGCCTGGTGCTGGCCTCGCTGGTGGCGCTGCTGGGCTCGGCCCTCCAGCTGTGCCAGGGTGAGCTCTGCGGGTGAGGGACTTGGGCTGCGCCGGGGTGGGGACGGTGCAGAGTCCGCTCGGAAGGGGTGGGGTGCATCCCGCAGCCTTGCACAGGCTGTGACTCCACTGTCCCTACAACCTTCAAGTCGTCTCTCCCGACCCTGGAAGAGCCTGGCCACCAGCCCGTGAGCCCCAAGCTCACACCTAGGCTCCCAAGCCTGCCTGTGCGGTGCTCTGGGCTTGACAAGCATTCATTCATTTTGAGACATCTAGACCTGGCTGGCCTGGAACTCGCTCTGTAGCCCAGGCTGGCCTCAGTCAGACTCACAGAGATCCTCCTGCCTCTGTCCTGAGTGCTGGGAATAAAAGGTGCGCCACCACACCCGGACTTTTTTTTTTTGAGACAAAGTCTCATGTAGCCCAGGCTGGCCTCAAGCCCCCTATGTAGCCAAGGCTGGCCTCCTGGTCCTCCTATTTTGACCTCCCAAGAGCTGGGACGACAGAAGTCCATCTTGGACCCTGGCTTTTTTTGTTTTTGAGTCAAGGGCTCACTTGATAGCACAGACTAGCCTGGGTCTCATGGCAATCCTCCTGCCTCAGCATTCTCCAGTCAGGATGACAGGCATATAAGACCAAGCCTGGTTCTTCCACTCCTTCGTTAGAGAAGAGACCTACACACCCCACCCCAGGGCAGAGGGTCCCCCCCAAGCACACACACACACACACACACACATTGTTGCTAGCCACCTCCATGCAGCTTTGGGGGCGGACAGTGGCCACTACAGAGGAGAGACAGAGACAGAGAGACAGAGAGAGGGGTCTCTAGGAAGAGGCTGCGGTGCCCAGCGGCAGGAGCGGGCTGCACCTCCCCGGACGGTGAAGTCGACGGCTGCAGCCTGGTCCGTCCCGAGAGCGCAGTTGTGGGCTGAGTGGGAGGACGGAGAGGGTGCGCTCCGTGCTCCATTCCGGACTGCCTGGCTTTCAGACGCGGTGGCCGGGGAAGTGGCGGTGGCTGCCCCTCCGCAGCGGGTCCCGCCCAGTCCTCCACCCCAGAAGCCGAAGGCGCCCGCGGTAAGCCCTGCGGGACTCCACCTGGTGGGGCGGCTCGCCCAGGGGGCAGGGGCCCGTGGGGAGGTGGGCGCGGCCGGACCCCGAGACCCCACACTGTCTCCCGCAGCCTGAGCCCCAGCTCTCGGGGCCTCCACCCGGGCCCCCCGAGCCCCCCGAGCCCCCCGGGCCCCCGGCACAGAAGCAGGACCCGTCTGAGGCCGCAGAAGCCCAGGGTGAGCCTGGGGGGTCCGCCCCGGAGGCCTCTGGGGAGGAGCGCGCACCCCTAGGAGACCGAGGGTCCCAGGAGAGGCCGCGGAAGGAGAAGCCGAGGACAGGAGAGAAGCCGAAGAAGGAGAAGCCGAGGAGGGAGAAGCCCGGGAGGGAGGAGAGGCGGCGGGCCACCAGGGAGCCCGGCCCGTTCCTGTCCCGGCGCCGGGAGGCGCGCGAAGGAGGCCGGCGGCCGTGGACGCGGGACTCCCGGGAACTCGAGCACGGGAAGCGGCCGGCCTGGGCTCCCCGGCGACGCCGTGACAGCGACAGCCGGCCCAGACAGAGGCCCCGTGGGGGGACGGGGCGCGACTGACCCCGCCCGTGTCCCGCGTCCCCTCTCCCTGCAGCCCCCGCAAATAAAGCTCGTGCCGCAGCAGCCACGTGGTCTGCTCCTTTGTGCCCGGACCCCAGGGGTCGAAGAGATGAGATGGGGCCGGCGAGATGGCGAAGTGGGTAAAGGCGCTTGCCGCCAAGCCTGACGACCCGTGTTCGACCCCGGGACCCACACTGTGGAGGGCGAGAAGGAACTCGCGTTAGCTGCCCTCTGACCTCCTCTGTGCTCTGTGCGACTGCGTAAGCACAGCCTGGAGTTCTGATCCTCCTGTCTCCACCTCCAGGTAGTGCTGGGGTGACAGGTGTGCGCCACCACACTTGGTGTTTTGTTTTTTCTTTCTTTCTTTTTTTTTTTTTTGTAAACAGGGTTTCTCTGTGTAGCCCTGGCTGTCCTGGATCTCGCTCTGTAGCCCAGGCTGGCCTCGAACTCACAGAGATCCTGGCTCTGCCTCCAGAGTGCTGGGATTAAAGGCGTGCGCCACCGCCTGTCCTGTTTTTTGTTTCTTTAAAAAAGATTTGAGCGTGCGCGTCTGTGTGTGTGTGTGTGTGTGTGTGTGTGTGTGTGTGTGTGTGTGTGTTTGTTGAGATGTGCAAGTGTCCTCACTACTAAGCTATTTCTCTACCTCCTTTTTTGGTTTTTGAAACAGAATTTTACTCTGTAGTTCAGGCTGACTCAAAACAATTCTCCTGCCTCAACCCTCCCCTCCACACATACAAATTAGTTAACTAATTTAAAAAGCGACATGGTCCGGGAGTTTAGAGCCAGCACTGGGGAGGCAGAGGCAGGCAGAGCTCTGTGAGCTCAGGACAGCCGGGGATGCACAGAGAGAACCCTGTCTTAAAAAAGGAAAAGCGATGGCAACAGAGAGCTTCCTCACGGGGCCTTGCACTCGAGAAGGGAGGTGGCAGGAGGTCCCTCCACCCGCAGACACCCCAGCTGAGTGGTTGCTGTTCTTTATTGGTGCTGAGCAGGGGCAAGGCGGGCGTCACCGGCAGCCGCACTCGGTGGCCACCATGTTGGGCACGTGGTGCGCGCTGATGCGCTCCTCGGACAGGCTGATGAGCAGCTTGCCGGCGTAGGCAGTGGGCACGCAGCAGGGCAGGCGCCCCAGGGCGGCCCCGCGCGCCTGCATCTTCAGCAGGAGCACCACGTGGTTCCCGTAGCGCGGGTTGCGGTCGGACTGCGGCCACGCGCAGGCGCCTTGGCAGTTGTTGGCCTGGTAGGTCTCGGGGATGAGCACGGAGCGCTCCGCGCGCAGATCCACGCTCAGCTCGCGCAGCGCGCACGGCCCGTCC